TCCTCTCCTGTTATGGGAAGCACATAAACTGGTATTGCGAGGGTTTTGCATTAGCAAAGCATCCTTCTTAAATAAAAGCAAAAGGCAACAACGTCTCTCACTGGAGCAAACATATGATTGTTCCCATCAAGCCTTCCAGACTCATCTCCCAAGCTGAAACTTTAGATGCAATTAAAAACCTAAAACTACGTAAACGCCCAGGACCAGATGGCTTCTCAGCCACTTATTATAAAAAATTTGCTCATCTCACTACACCTATCCTCACTAATGCTTTTAACGCTTTACAGTCTGGCCACACCTTTAACCATGAAACAGTGCAAGCGAACATTTCAATGATCCCAAAGCCGAATTCTGACGACACGCAGTGGTCCAATTATAGGCCAATCTCTCTCCTCAACATTGACATCAAACTGTTAGCCAAAATGCTCTCTTCACGTCTTAACCTGTGTATTAGCTCTCTAATTCATAACGACCAAGTCGGCTTTATCCCAACTAGGCAAGCGGGAGATAACATCAGACGTGCATCTCTTTTAGCTAAATTAGCCAGGTCTCGCAATATTCCTGCCTGTTTCCTGTCCCTAGATATCCGGAAAGCATTCGATACAGTCTAATGGCCATACCTCAGCTATATATTGCATCGTTGGGGTTTTGGCCCGCACTTTTTAACCTGGATTTTCTCACTGTATCGAGAGCCCTCGGCCAGAATTAGGTATCTGGGGCACAGATCAGCTCAGTTCCCGATCTCCAGAGGCACGAGACAGGGCTGCCCTCTGTCCCCTTTGCTCTTTGCCCTAGCTATAGAGCCTCTGACCCTCTTAATCAGAGTTAACCCGAATATCAGGGGACTCGAGATAGGAGGCACGCATCATAAGTTATGTCTCTTTGCGGATGACGTCTTACTCTTTCTCACATCTCCATTGACTTCCTCTCCTTCCCTACTCTGGCTTCTCGAGGCGTTTGGCTCGCTCTCTGGTTTAAAAATAAAAACCCTAATAAATCGACAGCACTCAACATCTCTCTCCCCCTTTAGAGTTGACGCATCTAAAGCAGATTTTACCATTCCCTTGGTCACAGTGGGAATCAAACTGACCCCTAAGTTATCAGACCTTTACGCAGCTAACTATCTTCCGATGCTAAACCATCTTTCTGCCCTTTTGACCAAATGCTCTTCCCTACCCCTCGCATGGCTAGGCAGAATAGCAGTCATCAAGATGTCAATCCTCCCAAAAATTCTATATCTATTTAGAGTCCTCCCAGTCCCAGTCCCCCCTCACTACCTCCGCACACTGCAGCGTCGCATTTTTTCCTATGTATGGAGGCGATACTCGTCCTCGTATACCTCGCTCCACCCTATACCGTCCTAAGCTCAATGGTGGTCTAGGCTTACCCGACATCAGCAAATACTATCAAGCAGCACATTTAGCCCAATTATCATGCAACCTTTGAAATCCCTCAATGGGTTGCTCTTGAATCGATAGAATGTGACCCCTTATCTACAGCTAACTTACTCTGGTTGAGGCCTATAGACCGCCGCTCTATAACCAACCCCATCACTTCTCACTTTTTATCCTTATGGGATAAACTCAAAACCCGATATCTCCTCCAATCACTACATAATCCCCTGCTCTCGTTTCTACGAAACCCAGCTTTTCCCCCGGCCTGGCAGACACCCCTTTTGTTCAAAGCCTGGTCCTCTGCTAATTTGCTCCGCACGCATCATTTCCTACAAAGGAATAAGTTTAAATCCTTTGCCTCGCTGCGGGAAACGCATAGCCTCCCAGCTTCCGAGATATTTCGATACTTGCAGCTACAACACTTTTACGCCCCCTACACTACAACAACCAATCGGCCAGATGCCATGTCTCTCTTCGAACGAGCGTGTTACAAAGACCCTCATAGACGTGGGCTTATCTCTTGCTTATATTCACTCTTCACTACTTCGATTACCACTTACCCCGCTTGGTATACTCATAAGTGGGAAGTGGATTTAGGTAAGAAACTCGACCCATCTGATTGGGATCGCATTTGGGCCAACACAAAATCATCTTCGCAGAACATTGTAGCTTTGGAAACAAATTATAAAGTTTTAACCCGGTGGTACCTGGTCCCAGCGAGAATCGCAAAATTTACCCCTAATTACTCGCCCAACTGTTTTAGAGGCTGTACGGATTCAGGAACACACTTTCATATGTGGTGGGAATGCCCAGTGGCCCGAGTCTTTTGGGATGAAATTTTCACCATGATATCTACACTTAGCACTATCACTCTACGACCCGACCCAACAACAGCCCTACTCAATCAGTGCCCCCCTGGCATCTCCAACTCACAATTCAAGCTCCTTATGCAAGTTACGACGGCAGCTAAGCAGGTTATAGCGAAATCCTGGAAATCCCCCACCCTAAGTGTTGCGGCTGTCAAAACCAGAATAACACAAGCCATGATACATGCAAAGGTGGAAGCCACAATTCTAGACAAGATTCCTAAATTCTTGCGCATATGGAGCCCATGGGTAGAGCGCTTCCTCCCGCCTAACTTTGATGAATCACTCCTTCTCCCTTGATTTGTATACTGTGCGCCAAGGATACTGTCAATAGCCCTTTGCAGGCAACATGTGGGGTCTGCTGTAAATTTGATGAATGCTCATGGAGTCATCGTTGTTGTTCCCCTTCCCTCCCTTCCACCCCCGTCTGACCCCCATCCAAACTTCCACTTATTTCTGTAATGCACTTGGGAGACGTTACTCTGATTGGCTGGGACAATAATGTCATCTGTTGTCAACTCCTATTTACCTGTTTCCGCTAGAAACTATGTCCTACTGCCACTTCAATGTCCAATGTACATTACCGAATTCTCCTTGTTTGTGTTATTATGGTTTTTTGTTAATAAAAATGTTTGAACAAGATCAACAACATATAGCAATTACCATCTAATACACTTCTAGTGACTATGGATGTAGTATCCTGTATAGTAATATCCCTCACAAGGATGGATTAGCTGCATGTCACAGATCTTTATCATCCTCACCAAACAACAAATACACTGCTGAGAATGTTACACAGCTCATTGAATTCATACTTACACACAACTACTTTGTGATATTGATGATATTTTCATCATATGGACAGAAGGTGAAGAAAACCTAAAACAATTTTACTCATTGATGAACACTTTTCATCCATCAATCAAACTAAAAATGGGAATACTCAAACACACACGTCAACTTCCTAGACACCACAGTATACATCAGGGATGATACGCTTCACACCTCAATATACAGGAAACCCACTGACAGATTCAACTACCTCCACAGTTCCAGCTTCCACCCCCAACACACGAAACGTGCCATCATACACAGTCAGGCCATTAGATACCACCGAGTATGTTCTGACCCAAGAGACAGAGATAAACATCTCGGGACCCTAGCAGGCGCCTTCCATAAGAAAGGTTACAAGGACAAAACTATCAACACCAGCATAAACACAGCCTTGAGAACCCAAAGGGAAAATCTACTTCAGTACAAAGAGAAAAAAAACAAACAACCGTGTACCTCTAGTAACCACATACAACCCAGCACTAGAAGGAATAAGAAAAATAATCAAAGATTTACAACCCATCATAACAGAGGCTGGAACTCTGAAAGAAATATTCCAGCAACCCCCAATACTGGCTTTCAGACAACCCCCCAACCTCAGAAATAAACTAATCAGTAGGAAACTCCTTCTGATTATGATGTCACAAATAATGGAAGCAAATCCTGCAATAAGAAACGCTGCAAGCTGTGCAACCAAATCAATCCATCAAAAAGTGTCAGACACTCAAAAGGGATCTTCAGTATTTCCGGATCATACAGCTACACCTCCAGTAATGTTGTGTACCTTATCCAGTGCAGAAAATGCAGCAAAGGATCTTATGTTGGCGAAACAGGACAGAAGTTGCAAACAAGGATGAATTTGCACAGATATACCATCAAGGAACATAAAGAAGATGACCTCTGCACACCTGTAGGACACCATTTCCCACAACCAGGCCACAATATGGAAGACATCAATGTTTTGGTTCTGAAAGGAAAATTCAAATCTATCCAGGAAAGAAAAACATTTGAACTAAGAATGATAAATTCTATTTGACACAAAAGATAATGGCCTTAACTTGGACATGGGATTCCTCAACCATTATCCGACAGTTTCATGACTATCTATTTAGCTGATGCTTGACCCCCTCTGTGTGAGTGTAGTATCTGTCAGGGCTCCCAGGTATGACCAGAGGTGTGTGACTGAAGCAGGGAAACACAGACCTCAGATATGTTATAAACAATATAATTTAATTACACACTAACAGTACAACCATAAACGCAGTGCAATACTAAAACATAATACAGTGCAACCAAACCACCCACAGATAACAGTACATACAAGCAAGCGTCGTCAGGCAGGCCCGGGTCAATATCAATTGGGCAGGTAGGTACAGGGGGAGCAAGCGGAGAATGGTCGGGGTCACAGGCCAGGTTCAGCAGGTAGCAAGCCAGCATAGTACAGAGGGTCAGGCAGAGGGATGGTCCGGGTCACAAGCCAGGGATCAGAACAGGTAGCAAGCAGCGTAGTACAGAGGGTCAGACAGAGGGATGGTCAGGGTCACAAGCCAGGATCAGAGCAGGAGAAGTCAGCCAAGGAACAGAAACAGGATGCAGGACCAGATACAGGGCCCAGGACAAACACAACACCAAGGCAGAGTCTGCAAGTCTGGCCATCCCTTAAATACACCAGTATCATCAGTTCCAGGTGTTTAGCTGGCTGAAAGGTTGAGTCTCTGATTGCTGGGAGCACCCGCACACCAGCCCTGGTACTGCAGATCAAAAGGCAGGTGAGTCCCACCCATTGCTGGCCAGTCCATTCCTAAAACAGTACCCCCCCCTCAAGGAGCGGCCTCAGGACGCTCCAAACAGTCCTCAGCTGGGCAAAATGTCACCGCCCGGGTCTGGCAACTGGCGGGATATCACAGACTGGCACACCGGTCAGGACCATCCCCCTAATCCCAGCGGCACACCGGGCTGGGACTCCGGGGGTACTCCCGTCTCACACCGGCTTTTCAGAGGCACGCCGGGCAGAGGCACACCGGGCAGGGCCCATCCCGGGCAGAGGCACAGTCACCCCCCCCCCCACCATCAGGCAGGACTCCCTCCCACATCGGGGGGGGTGACTGAAGGATTCCGGGCAGAGGCACCATCGGGCAGGACTCCGGGCAGAGGCACATCGGGCAGGATATCAAGACGGGCAGAGGCACATCGGATTACCAGGCGAAGCAGCAGGCAGCGGGCCACCAGGCGGAGCAGCAGGCACCGGGCCCCCGGGCGGGGCGACAGGCATTGCCGGGCCCCCAACAGTGGCGGTGAGGCGGGGCGAGGCAGGATGCGACAGGCACCGGGCCCCCAGGCGGGGCACAGGCACCGGGCCCCCAGGCGGGGCGACAGGCACCGGGCCCCCAGGCGGGGCGACAGGCACCGGCCCCCAGGCGGGGCGGGCAGGCACCGTGCCCCCAGGCGGGGCGACAGGCAATCGTGCCCCCAGGCGGAGCGGCGGGCGCCGGACCCCCAGGCGGAGCGACAGGTCTCGGGCCCTCAGGCGGAGCGGCGGGCGCCGGACCTCCAGGCAGGAGCGACAGGTCTCGGGCCCTCAGGCGGAGCGGTGGGCGCCGGACCCCCAGGCGGAGCGACAGGTCTCGGGCCCTCAGGCGGGAGCGGCGGGCGCCGGACCCCCAGGCGGAGCGACAGGTCTCGGGCCCTCAGGCGGAGCGGCGGGCGCCGGACCCCCAGGAGGAGCGACAGGTCTCGGGCCCTCAGGCGGAGCGGCGGGGCGCGGACCCCCAGGTGGAGCGGGTACCCCAGGTCTCGGGCCCTCAGGCGGAGCGGCGGGCGCCGGACCCCCCAAGGCGGAGCGACAGGTCTCGGGCCCTCAGGCGGAGCGGCGGGCGCCGGACCCCCAGGAGGAGCGACAGGTCTCGGGCCCTCAGGCGGAGCGGCGGGCGCCGGACCCCCAGGAGGAGCGACAGGTCTCGGGCCCTCAGGCGGAGCGGCGGGCGCCGGACCCCCAGATGGAGCGACAGGTCTCGGGCCCTCAGGCAGAGCGGCGGGCGCCGGACCCCCAGGAGGAGCGACAGGTCTCGGGCCCCTCAAGCGGAGTGGCAGGTGCCGGACCCCCAGGCGGGGCGACAGGTCTCGGGCCCTCAGGCGGAGCGACAGGTCTCGGGCCCCCAGGCGGGGCGGCGGGCGCCGGATCCCCAGGCGGAGCGGCGGGCACCGAGACACCAGGCACGACAGTGGGCTCCGAGTCAACTGGTATGACCGCAGGCACTGGGTCAGACATTGGATGGTCTGGCTGGACAGCGGGCATCGGGTCACCAGGCATCAAGTCATTTGGCTCGACAGCGAGCACCGCGTCATCTGGCAAGGCAGTGGGCTCCGAGTCAACTGGCATGACCGCGGGCACCGGGGCAGACATTGAATCGTCTGGCTGGACAGCGGGCATCGGGTCACCAGGCATCAGGTCATTTGGCTCGACAGCGGGCACCGCGTCATCTGGCAAGGCAGTGGGCTCCGAGTCAACTGGTATGACCGCGGGCACTGGGTCAGACATTGGATCGTCTGACTGGACAGCGGGCATCGGGTCACCAGGCATCAGGTCATTTGGCTCGACAGCGGGCACCGCGTCATCTGGCAAGGCAGTGGTCTCCGAGTCAACAGGCACGACAGTGGGCACCGGGTCATCAGGTACCGGATTGTCTGGCTCGACAGCGGGCATCGGGTCATCAGGTATGACAGCGGACACTAGGTCACCAGGCATCAGGTCATTTGGCTTGCCAGCGGGCACCGCGTCATCTGGCAAGGCAGTGGGCACCGAGTCACCAGGTACGACAGCGGGCTCTGAGTCAATTGGCACGACAGCGGGCACCGATCAGGTACAGGATCATCTGGATCAACAGCGGGCATCGAGTCAACTGGCCTAATAGGATCGTCAGGCTGGATCAGTTCATCATGCTGGGTAGAGGCATTAGGCCGAGTAGAGGCTTCAGGCCGAGTAGAGGCATCAGGCCGAGTAGAGGCATCAGGCCGAGTAGGCAGGCATCAGGCCATCAGAGTAGAGGCATCAGGCCGAGTAGAGGCTTCAGGCTGAGGAGAGGCTTCAGGCCGCGTAGAGGCTTCAAGCAGTACAGCATCAGCCGAGTACAGGCATCAGGCCGAGTACAGGCATCAGGCCGAGGAGAGGCTTCAGGCCGCGTAGAGGCTTCAGGCCGAGGAGAGGCATCAGGCTGCGTACAGGCATCAGTCTGAACCACGGAAGGCAGGCTCACCGGTTTGGATACTGGCAGGATGGTATTGGTTGGAAAGAATTTTCGCTTTTTTTCTGGTTTTAACTACTGGAGCACTGCAAGTAAACGCAGGTCTGCAAACGAATGGAGCAGCTGGAGACAGAGAAGAACTGGAGGATGGAACAGGAGAGGGAGCAGTTGCTACAGAGGGCTTTTTTACAGGGTTAAAGGCAGGATAGGTGCAGCGAGTGGGAACAGGGGACTGACATGCGGTAGATAGCCAAGTATACTGGGCTGTAACTGGAGGAGCTGGTGGGAATACAGGAGTAGAGTTAGAAGCAGGACTGGGTCTTTGTAAGCTGACTGAGGCTGGGTGCAACAAATCTGTCCATGTCTGCAGTATGGGTTGAACAAAGCTGAGCTTACACAAAGCCTGTCTGGTCAATGACTGCACTGCGTTTATACAATCTCTCAGTGTCTGTGGTGAACATGTGGAATAACGCTCCAGAAAGTAACCCACATCATCCTCTAATAACCACACCAGGGACTCTACCTGGTCTGCACTAAATGGTGGCAAAAATTCATCCCTGCATTCGGGGGAACCAGATGAAACCAACTCTGCACAAACCTCAATCAATGGCTGCACCTCAGAGAACACTGTGCCCTGATCTACTAGAACATGAGCGAGCCGTATACATTCTAGCAATTCATCCCGGTATACTCCTTCAGAGTTTGATAAGCATACTCTCTGTCATCAAACACTAGCAGATATAAATACTCAACCTCCTCAAGATCCATCCTTCCCATCAACAAGCCAAGATGGCTTCCCTGTGCAGCCACTTCTGGTCAGGATTGGCCTTGGTGTAATGTCAGGGCTCCCAGGTATGACCAGAGGTGTGTGACTGAAGCAGGGAAACGCAGACCTCAGATATGTTATAAACAATATAATTTATTAACACTAACAGTACAAACATAAACGCAGTGCAATACTAAAACATAATACAGTGCAACCAAACCAAACCAAACCACCCACAGATAACAGTACATACAAGCAAGCGTCGTCAGGCAGGCCGGGTCAATATCAATTGGGCAGGTAGGTACAGGGGGAGCAAGCGGAGAATGGTCGGGGTCACAGGCCAGGTTTCAGCAGGTAGCAAGCAGCATAGTACAGAGGGTCAGGCAGAGGGATGGTCCGGGTCACAAGCCAGGGATCAGAACAGGTAGCAAGCAGCGTAGTACAGAGGGTCAGACAGAGGGATGGTCAGGGTCACAAGCCAGGATCAGAGCAGGAGAAGTCAGCAAAGGAACAGAAACAGGATGCAGGACAGATACAGGGCCCAGGACAAACACAACACCAAGGCAGAGTCTGCAAGTCTGGCCATCCCTTAAATACACCAGTATCATCAGTTCCAGGTGTTAGCTGGCTGAAAGGTTGAGTCTCTGATTGCTGGGAGCACCCGCTGGCCAGCCCTGGTACTGCAGATCAAAAGGCAGGTGAGTCCCACCATTGCTGGCCAGTCCATTCCTAACAGTATCCCCCCCGTCGCTTTTGATGTATCTTATCTGTAGCCTTTTTTTTTTTTTCTCAATCCCTTCTAACATTCTGCTTAAACTTTTTGATTTGTAATAGTACTGTTTGGACTTTATAGAAGGGGACATACCCCGAAAGCTTGTCCTCAAAATTGTATGTTAGTGCAAATAAAAAAAGTATCACGGACAGTACTCAATTGTTTCTGTTATAAAAGTAAAAAGGGAAGTGAGCATGCACGGGTGTCAAGGTCCTACCTTTTCCCAGAGGTTATGCTGCTCCATGTGCTGGCAGCCATCTTGGGTTTCTGCAAAGCATGGTGGGAGCCTTTTATGCTTTCAGGCCTCTGCAGTCCATTCCCCAGAGGGGTGTGGTTGAGCACATTTAAGCCTGTTGTCTGCACTTGCTCTTTGCATTCGTGTCTTGTTTGTTAGTGTTGTTGCAAGCTCTTATTCTACTCTCGTGGCTCTCCTGGAAACTGACTCGGCTTTGTCTAAGACTATTCTCAGCCTTATCCCTTTATCTGACCTCCCGTTGCTGAACCCGGCTTGTGACCCGTGTATTCTTGTCTACCGTTCTGTACTGTCTGTCCTGCTGTTATCGACCTGGCCTGTCCGACTACGCTATCATTCTTATCTGGTTCCTACCCGCTATACACCATTGGTGATGGCCATTACCGCAGCTGGGGTTTCTCGGGGGCCGCGACCTGGTTCCTGGCTGCGTCAAGTCCATCCCCACCATCAGGGGCCCTGGTGAAAGGCAGCCTGGGGCTTAGACTCCACACCCTGAGGGACTCCGGTCTGTGGGTGATGGTTGTCGTCAGTCGGTGCGTGACCCTGCCATTAGGCCTGCCTGTCCATTCCGCAGCTCCTGCCCTGACATTACACGAATGCCATGAATCCTGACGGTGCAGGTACGCCTTCGCTTCCCATGTTAGTTGCCAGACTTGATCAACAGGATCTCCTGTTGGATCAGTTCGCTCAGGCATTGCAGACTCTGCTTGCACGCACCGCGCACCTTGCTCCTGGTGCTATTAGGCCGGTTGTCACTCCGGTGGTCGCCCCCGCTGCGCTCGGCTCCGGTTGTTGCACCTACCACAGCGGCTGCCGTTGCGCCCACCGTGCCCAGAGGTATGACTGGTTCAGCCCCTCTTCCACAGTGCTTTGGGGGTGAGCCGAGTCAGTGTCGTGGGTTCCTCAACCAGGTGGGGCATTTATTTTGAGTTAATACCCCACGCTTTTCTTACTGAGAGGTCAAAGGTGGGATTCCTAATCTCGCTGCTCTCAGACAAGGCCTTGACCTGGGCAAATCCCTTATGGGAGAGGAATGACCCCGGTGATTCACGATTTTTCCGGTTTTGTCAACACCTTCTGTAGGGTATTCGACATTCCGGCTCGCTCCGCCTCTGCTGCCAAGCTGATCATGTCCATGCATCAGGGTTCATGGACTGTTGCCGAGTACGCCATTGAGTTTCGTACCCTGGCGGCAGAGGTGGGCTGGAACAATGAGGCCCTGGTGGCTGCTTTTTCTCATGGCCTTTCTGATGCGTTGCAGGACAAGAGTTGCAGCCAAGGAACTGCCTGTGGAGCTGAAAGCACTCATTTCCTTTCCTAATCCTGATTGACACCAGGCTCAGGGAGAGGCCTTTACTCAAGGAGCACCTGCGGAGGCCTCCCAACTGACTGGCGCCTGCGTTTTCTGTCCCACCCATTCCTCCCTCTCCTCCCACGCCTCCTGGGGATGGCTTGTCTGGCGGTGAGCCCATGCAGCTGGGGGTTGCTCGCCTTCCCGGGGGGGAGCGGGCCGCTCGGCGTTGGGAGGGTCGCTGCCTGTACTGTGGCCTTGGTGGGCATTTTCGGCAGTCCTATCCGGTCCGTCCAGGAAAAGCTCGCACATGAGATCCTGACAGATCTTGGGTGGAGTATCCTCATCCCCGGCGTCCCGCAAAGATAAACCACTGATTACCGTTGTCCTCTCTTGGGCGGAGGGCTCGGTGACAGCCCAGGCGTTAGTAGACTCTGGGGCCGGCGGGTTGTTTATGGACAGCTCGTTTGCTGCCCAGTACTCCATTCCCCTGCAGGTTCAAGTTACCCCATTGGTTCTCAAGGCGATAGATGGCAGGCCCCTGCAATCGCTGCAGGTTACCCACGAGACCCTGCCAGTTGAAGTAGCTATTGGGGCTGTTCACAGGGAGTTGGCCTGTTTTCAGGTAATTTCTTCCCGCACTATTCCGTGGTTTTGGGGTATCCCTGGCTCCAGAAGCACAATCTGACCTTTAATTGGAGAATGGCCGAGATTCTCTCGTGGTCTCCACAGTGTGGGGCCGGGTGCAGCATCCGTGGGCCGGTTAAGGTGTTGTGTGCCTCCTCGGACTCTGTGTTGCCTACCGACTATGGGGAGTACCGGGACGTGTTTGACAAGGTGCGCGCTGGTGCCTTACCTCCCCATCGTCCTTACGACTGCGCCATACCCTTGCAACCCAGTGCCACTCCTCCGTGTGGCAGGGTGTATCCTCTTTTGATTGCGGAGAATCAGGCCATGGAGGAGTACATTGCGGATGCACTTATCCGGGGGCACATTTGTAAGTCTCCTTCCCAAGCAGGAGCGGGCTTTTTCTTCGTAAAGAAGAGGGGTGGTG